ATAATTATGATTTCCTAGGAGGCCATAGATTCATTAGTATGGTTCTAATGACATTCCAAATCCCAACAGAAAATTCATCCTCAAGGATGCAGCATACACCAAGCTAAAATTCAAGGACAAGTAACACTAAGATATGCAGAGATGGTACTTGTAGCCTAGTGTTGCTGTTACATTGCTAGAGGCTTCTACTCTGTGAATATTGCCTGGGGATTGAAAATCAGGATGGGCAAATTGGTTAGAAAAAAATAAGAGCCTTGAATCTTATTACATACACTGATCTGAACCCATACCATTTAGATTAAATTAAATAAGGATCCACCTTCTTCCTATTCCTAATATTGATTCCATTCCTTTCTTCCTCTCTGGGTATGTCTAAACTGCAATTCAAACCCCGGGGCTGGCCCATGCCAGCTGACTCTGGCTCACCCGGACTGGGCTCAGAGGCTGTTTAATTGTGGTGCAGACATTTGGGCTCAGGCTGTAACTCAGCTCTAGAACCCTGTGAGGTGGGAGAGTCCCAGAGCTCAGGTTGCAGCCCAAGCCTGAACACCTACATCACAATTAAACAGCCCCTAACCAGAGCCCCTTAGACAAAGTCAGCTGGCTTGGGCCAGCTGCAGGTTATTAATTGCTGTGTAGACATACCTGCTGTGGCCTCTGGTAAGTTTCTAGCCTTATCTCACTTCCTGAGACACTCCAATATTCCCCAGCTCCTTCCTCCTCCCTGAGTCCCTCCCACAAACAAATGTTTCTTCTAATTGCAACCCCATACTACTTTTGAAGATGTCCAAAGTTTTTACCCCATTTCAGAATAAAGTTAAGGTCCTACTTTCTCTATATGTAACAAGGTTCACCAAATATTTGTAGGGCTCTACCAAATTCACGGCCATGAAAAATGCTTAGTAAAGGGTAAAAGCACACAAAAGATGAGATTTCACAGGGGGAAGCCAGATTTCACAGTCCATGATGCATTTTTCAGGCCATGAATTTGGTAGGGTCTTACCTATACTATACAGATTTCACAGGGGAGACCAGCATTTCTCAAACTGGGGGTCCTGACCCAAAAGGGAGTTGCAGGGGGGGTCACAGTATTGCCACCCTGACTTGTGCGCTGCTGCCATCAGAGCTGGGCAGCTGGAGAGTGGCAGCTGTTGGCCAGGCACTCAGCTCTGAAGGCAGTGCCCCACCAGCAGCAGTGCACAAGTCAGGGTGGCAATACTGTGACCCCCCCTGCAACTCCCTTTTGGGTCAGGACCCCCAATTTGAGAAATGCTGGTCTCCCCTGTATTGTTTGATTGGTATTGGTATTGTTTGATACCGTGCCATCCTTACTTCTGTGCTGCTGCTGGCAGCAGCTCTATCCTCAGAGCTGGGCTCCCAGCCAGCACTGCCGCTCTCCAGCTGCCCAGCTCTGAAGGCAGTGCTGCCACCAGCAGCCACGCAGAAGTAAGGGTAACAGTACCCCCCCACACACACACAATAACCTTGCAAATCCCCCCCCCCCTCAACTCCTTTTTGGGTTAGGACCCCTACAATTACAATACTGTGAAATTTCTGATTTAAATAGCTGAAATAATGAAATCTACAATTTTTAAAATCCTATGATCATGAAATTGACCAAAATGGACCATGAATTTGGTAGGGCCCTATATATTTGTACTGCTGGCAAACCTTTAAAGTATACCAGAAACATCCTTGACAACTGTTTCCAACCTATTTGTTGCCAGTAGAGTTATGTCACTTTTTTCCTGTCTGTTATAGATAAGTTGTTTCTTTTTAACAACCATGCTAGGTAGACTGTAGTTTCTTAAAATAGCTAGAACAGTTTGTAATAATGATAAATGTGGGCACTAGCCATATTGTTAGAATTGTATTAGTTTATACTAGTGTGTGAAAATGGTTTCAAACACAAGCACAGTGTGGTCAGGGTCTCGCTCTAATAACATGTCTTCCAGCTGCTTGATTCAGAGTTCTGTCATGGATGTGGACTTCAACATATACTGTTGCTTGGTGTTAACTGATTGTGTGTCACTTAAGTCTATGTGACCTTTGCCATTCACTTTAAGTGTCCGGTTGCCTCAGATGTTGGAGATGGTAATAGAATTGTGAAGGGTGAGGTAGGTATTTGCCTTAGGACTTGTGATTAGTAAAGTGTAGTGAGTGTGCCACATAATAGTTTTCTCCTTCTGTGTTATCAGAAAGTCCTCAATAACCTTTATCCTGCTTGTCAGACAAAATCTACTCCATAAGGAATGGCACATCAAACTGGGGAAGGGTAGCTTGAAGAAAAGAGTAAATAAAATAGAAGGTAGAGTGCTGTTAATTAAAAAGAGGAAGGAGGATATAAACTGCCCCACCCAGTCTTTTTAATTTTAACTTTCTAAGCTTCGCTCTCTTTAAATTTAGATTGCATCTTGAGTTCTGTTGCAACTAATATTTTTTACTTAGTTGTGAACAGTTTTGGGAGATCAGCATGTTTTGTGTGTTTATCCTCAATGGGTTAATATTAACTGCAAAAGTAACACAAGTTGCATTGTATTGTATTTTAATGTTTCTCAGATTGAAACTAGACAGCCTAATTTGACTATTTTAAAAGGGCTTTATGTATCATCTATCGACTGATTCTTCTCTCTGCCTGACAACAGGATATTTATTTATTTCTCCATTAGTTAACTATACAATTTGTGGTTCTTTATTTTTAGGTTCAGATGGGTTTTTGTGCTTCAGAAGTCTTTTTTTTTTTTTTTTGTAACTATTTTTCATTTTGTTGAGCAGGCACAAAAGTGAAAACATCTAGACTTTTTCAACTGAAATTTTGTGTTTTCATTCTGTTACTGTTAGAAGCTAGGAATGGGCGACAGGGGATGGAGCACTTGATGATGGGGCACCTGGCATTGGCCACTGTCGGAAGACAGGTTTCTGGATTAGATGGACCTTTGGTCTGACCCAGTAAGGCTGTTCTTATGTTCTAGCATCCAAGATATTTCAGCCATGGTTTTGCAATCACTTTTGTCTGATGTACAACAAAAAGCAAAGGCTCAGGAATTTACAGGGCCAGTTGTGCAAATTCTTCTTAATGGTGCCATGCTTTGTTGTCCACTTTGAGTTTGGTTATTTAATATCAATATTTTAATTTCACTCAAAGGCCCGGATCAGGGCCCCATTGTGCTTCATGCTGTGCTATTTTTTATTGATGACTTTAGTTTGAGAGACAATATAAATCTAGTTCCTTGAGAATCTTTCAGTTTCACACCATCAGAATAGATTCAATTTATCCTGCAAAGAGCTAGTCATGTACATCTTATTCTGGCAAAATTTTCATTGAAGTCAAAGCGCTAAAGCTTTTCTACAAGAAATCAGATTATAGTCTTGATTCTGCAACACTTATTTATCTTCAATAGCATTTACTTACATTAGTATTCCATGAACTTCAAAGGGTCTGATTGCATAAAAAAATAATATTGATTATAGGGGTATGTCCTAAATGCAGAGTTAACTTCAGTTATCTACATTCAAGTTACTCTTCTCAAGTTAGCTAGCTGGAGTGAGAGCAGCCATGCTGAGAAATAACATTCAAGCTACTGTGTCCATACCGGCACTGCAGTTATTCATATGTGGCACTAAGATTTCTGGGGGCACATCCCCTGGTTCTTTGCACTGCAGTATGCTGAGCTATTCTATTAATTCTTTCCCAGTGAATTGTGAGATAACTTGTCTGTCCTTTGGGCACATGCAGGGAACTATAGGAAGGCATTGGAGGTTTAGCAGCACTCAAATGGAGCTAGCCTGAGTCCACACTACAGAGTGGTCATGTTACCCACAGATCAATTATGTTAACTTAAGCTTTAACCTATACCTCCTTATGGGCTAGCCAACTTGAATTAAAAGTGCCACTACACTTGAGTGTAGCACTTAACATGAGTCCCATCCACACACAAAAACCCTTAACTCAAGTTATGACTTCAGTTAACTTTGAAGTGAAGACAGGCTCTAAGAGTTGCAGAATCAGACCCCATATTAATAAAAGGTTTTGTTCAATCTAAGCTACAGTGGTTGTGATGGATACAAAGTTTGGCATTAAAAATGGTAAAGACAGATGATGGTTCTGCTGTATAACCTGGTATTCAGTATATCCTTTCTCAAGTTTTCAGTTTATTAAGGAGTAATTCTTATGTTCCAGCTTGCTCTTTACATTCTATTGCGATTGTATGTAAGTTGCATTTGCTATAACTTGATTTCTGTCTATTGCACCTTGACTTGAAGAATAGAATTTCCCCCACTATCTTCCTCAACCCCCAAGCTTCAGAAGCAGTTGTGTTCAAATGCAGCCTCCCATGGAGGGATCATACACACTGTATTCTCTCTCTATTGGAGACCTTGGTCAAGATTTAAAAAACTGGAGCCCCGGTTCAGCAAAGTGCTGACACATGTTAGTTTATATTTCTGGAAATGTCACTCTGACAATATCCTGTAGTCTCAGTGATAAAATAAAGTGAATAAAAAGTTATATTATTCAGTATTCTAACTAGGTGATCATAGTAGTGGTCCTCTATGGCCTTAAAATCTATGAAACCAGGTGGCAGACAGTGCCTGATCATGCACAGACAGATTTAGCTGAACCACATACACACAAGATAAATAAGGAACTTTTATTTTTCTCATTGTAAACCTGTGATAAGATCTTTTTCTCTTCCAAACAGGTACTACTGGTGCCATTGACTATACCACGATTTTGGAGGCTATATATAGTCTGCTGCTGTTGTAATTATGATCTGTGACTGCTCCTACCTCAGCTCTCAAACTCTTTGTACAGGTTAGTTGTGAGATTGCCAGTACCTGTTTTATTTTCTTCATTATAGTGCAAGCTGACAAGAACAAAGCTGAAGAGGAAGATTGAAGAGTTTGGATTAAGCTGTTTTGATACAGTAGATGGGACATACTGGAAGTGTTTTGGAGGGGGTTAAATCACAGCTCTCATGAGGATGAACTGATTATCCACTATGACCCCCAAGTCTTTTTCGGAATCAGTGCCTCCCAGGATAGAGTCCCCTATCTGGTAAGAATGGCCTGAATTCTTTGTTCCTATATGTGTATGTGCACATTTAGCCATATTAAAACTCATATTGTTTGCTTGCCCCAAGATTCCCAAGCAATCCAGATCATTCTGTATCAGTGACCTGTCCTCTTCATTATTTGCCACTCCCTCTAATCTTTGTGTCATCCGCAGACTGTATCTGTTATGATTTTATGGTCTCTTGTCGGTCACTGATAAAAATGTTAAATATTGTAGGGCCAAGAACTAATCTCTGTGGAACCCCACTAGAAACACACCCACTCTGTGATGATCTCCCCCCCCACCCCCGTAAAATTACATCAGTCAGCCAGTTTTTAATCCATTTAATGTGTGCCATGTTGATTTTTATATTGTTCTAGTTTCTGAAATCAAACTGTTGTGTAGTATCAGGTCAAATTTCCTGAACTTTAATTTGCCATACAAATCCATTAATTGGATACATAACAATTGGTGGTGGTTTTGGGAAGTGGGTCACTAGCTGAATATTTGTCTAAAATGGTTTAAAATAGATAACTGGAATTTTAGTGAGAGGCTATAGTGTGTATATATAAGGAGGATTGGGGATGGGAAAAAGAAGGGAAATTGCACTGTATATCAGAAATATATTCATAAATAATGAACTAAGGACAATTATAAGGATCAGAAATAGCAAATGTGCATGTGTTAGTTAGAGATGAGTAAATGGTTTGGGGCTACAATGGGGCAAAAGGGCCAAGCAGACAGAGGAAGAGATAACAAGTGGAAATGTTCTGCTACCCACACAGGTCTAGGGATTTAGAAAACAATGAGCTGGGAAGGGGGTGAAGAATGAGAATGGGGGGGGGGGGAGAATAGCTAAATGTCATCAAGGAAATAATATAATTGAAGAAAGAGGACAATGATATAAGAAGTTATGACAAGAAACAATTGCTGAAAACTAAAAAGTTTAGACTGGACAAAAATAAAAGCATTTTTCGAGTAATTAGTCATTAGAATAGACTGCAAGTGCTCAAAGCCCTTTCCCTGGAGCTATGTAAAACAGATAAGACAAGACATTATTGAAAATGTAGGGAATTGTCCTGCAAAATTCAATTTGTCAGACCAGATGAGCTAAGGCTTTTCAGGCCTTAGACAGTATTATCTGTAAATCTAACAGCAGAATACCTGCCCTAACAAATGTTCCTCCCTGCATTTGGAAAAATTGGGTGTGTAATTCATTTCCAGTGGAGGTTGTGGTTTAGACAGGACTCAGGGTTGTTTAACACCATGTCATCTAACCCTGTGCTAAGAATAGCCTCCGTTGTTTCTACCACCAGTGGAGAGATGTACCAGTTGGTCTCAATTTTAGCAATGTGGATACAGCTATAGAATCTCAGAGCAATTGGGAAATGTAGGCTCATCTCTTATATAGGGTGAAATCCTGGCTTTAACAATTGTGGCTGTGCTGGGGGAGGGAAGTGGTGCCAGCTGCATATCTGGAATGAAATTATCTGGCTGGCACAAGATAGGATGGGTTGGAGGTGAAGCATTTCCAGGTATAACTAGGAGAAGGAGCATTGTCATACTGCTAGCAGCCACTGATGTCCTCAGCATCGGCAGCACATATACTAAAATTGGAACGATACAGAGAAGATTAGCATGGCCTCTGCGCAAGGATGACACGGAAAAAAAAAGCAGCACATTAGCTAGTCGTAGGCCTGGCCATGCCTCTTGGAACAATGATACACTATGTATATAGGAACAGACTTATGCCATGCTGCTTTCTTCCATACCTAGCACATCTGTGCAGCGCGGAGCAGGATATGGTCATCTCTAGTAATTATTATATAACTATAAATTAAATACTGTTATTAATTTGCACTTCTATATCTCCTTTCATTGGAAAATGCCAAAGCCCTATGCAAACATTAACAAATAACACCTCGCAAGATCTGTCTATGGTAGGTCAGCATTAGCATGGCTGGTTATTTGTTCCCTGAGGAAGTGATAGGTTAGAGGCTTAAACAGGATCCTCAAAATATTTTAATTAATTTTAAATTACTTTTGTAACTGAAAGCCCCTCCTTCATTCCTCATGTTGCACAGTTTCCTTTTAATTTTGCTTTTCATTTTTCACTGTTGTGTAAAGTGCACAAATCTACATAACCAATAATAAACAACTGGCTCAATTGTTAGTTAACAGATTTATATAAGCATTGTAAATCCATTAACAATCTGGTCACTAAATGAAGCACTGACCTATTTCTCAGACTTAATAGCTGATAAACCATAACTGGTGATCTATAAAAGCGGGAATGTGTTAAGAAAAATTAATAGCTGCAAAAGATTAGTCTCCTTCCAGGCTTTCCCCAATCAGAACGCATGGCTCACTGTTATGTGCTTACTAATTATTTGTCAGCCACCAAACTTTGACTCAGATTAACTTTGCAGTACAGTGAAGTTGCTACGCTGACGGCTGGGTGCACACCTCTCTTCCTCCCGCTCACCTGGTTTACTGCTGAAGAATGCTATGCAAGTAATTTAATATGATTTACATTCAAGATGGTCCAGAATACAAATCCTGGATCCAAACACTCCTAGACTCAGGGAAGGATGGTTTTTAAATCTAGGACTATCTCTTATCCCTACAATAAGGAAAAACAAAATTGTGGATCCAAACACTATCTAATCTGGGGAGATTTGTGATCAAAATACAAACTTTGTGGCTTGAGCCCAGATTAGGCCCATCACTGGAATTATAAAAGAGAGGATGCATCTTTTTCCCAAATAAACATATCCCTCCACCCATTATAACCAGTTTTAGAGACATGCAATAAGTGAAATAGTGTTGTCACCCTTTGTGTATTGTCTATAGTGAGGCAAGTGACAAAAAAACACAAAGGAACTGTAACTAGCAGAAATGATGTGGTGCACACATCATTCTAAAGGGGCAGATGGTGTGAGCTCTAGCAGCCAAAGTTACATTTGCTTGGTGAATAGAGAAGGGACAGTGGAGCCTCACATAGGAAGGGGAGGTGGATAGCAGATCCCTCATGATTGTGAGAGGAAGGTAGTGAGAGCCTCCTATTGTTGGGGAAGTAGAGGGAGCTGAAGAAACTGCTACTCAGTTACTACCTCCCTTGCTTCAGAAGCGTCCTGTAAAATGTGTGTCCTATTCTGTTTCTGCTTCCAAATATACTTCTTGTATGGCTGTTCTGGTAGGGAAATAGTGGCACTGTTGCTCAGGAATCACTTGCACCTCCACCTTCACCATATTTAGTTATAGGCATTCTCACAATTAGCCATCTTTGCTGATGTTCAAACCAAATCCAGGCAGGAGAAATTACCTTACATTTTGAAGCATTGTTCTCCGACATTCTTGACCTGGACTGCCTTCAGGGGTTTTGCTGTCCAAGGTAAACTGTCAAATGTCTGCCTGTCTTTCTTAAGATTGTCTTGAGCCATCACTGCCATAGTATTCAAGCACTTTCCAGGTAAGCTGAATCTGCATGGTGAGTTTAGTCTTCCCCCTTTCCTGGTTAAAAATGGACTAATATGCTTAGCTAACTGCTGCCATGGGCAACCATTCATCCTGCTCTTTTAGCAATGGTTTAAAGCATTTAGAATCTGGTTTTTCAAAAGTGTATAGGGTACTTCTGCATGTCCCACTACTTGTGCTTGTGCGTCAGAGTTTGGGGGCAGAAGTCCATGGACTTTTCTGAAAATCTGACCCTACATTCCTCTATGTAGCACACCAACAGTGAGAAATGTGGAGTCCTCCATACAGATACAGAATCATCTTATTTTGTGCTAGGGGCCTAACTATCTAGGTGTTTATACCATGTTCATCACCATGACATTGAATATAAAAGAACAGACACTATGCTATAGGCATAGGTCTTGAGAATGGCCAATTACATAGGTGATTCACTTGAATCAGAGCTTGAAGAGCAATTTTTTTTCTCCTCTTTTGCAATCCTTGCTTGTTTGACAGGCCCAAACTGAATTACATCACTTCCTAAAAGCAATCAAATACAGCACATCTTAAGAAATTTAACTCACATACACATGAGCAGGAAACAGGAAACGTACTTGTTCCTGTAAAACAGGGAGAAACTAAAATTGAGAATCATGCCTAATCACAAAAAATGTATCATACAGAAACAAAACTTCATGCTGTTTTTTGTCCTGTTTCTCACGGCAGGATCTCCCAGATATGGTAAGTAATAAAGTGTCTTTCACATTCTGAAGTAGAACTATGCAGACATGTTTTATGCCTACAGCGATAGAACTCTGTTACAGGGTAACACCCTGAAAACCTGATCTCACTGTAGGAGGTTTATGAAAACTTGCACTGTTTGTTTTAGCTTTATTTAACTTTGCTACTTTCATCTCTCTCTGTGTGTGTGCATGTGTGTGTGTTGGTGTTGTTTAATAGAGATCAGCTTCACCTGCAACATTTGGATCCAAACATCCTTAAATCTCAGGTGGTTTTAGATACAGGGGTTTGGTTAACATCCATCATTATTTTCTGTTATGATTTCCACCATTTGGTGTATTTTGCCTGTAAAAGTCATGTCCTTCATAACGGCATTTAATGGACAAAAAATGTACTCTGATTACAGTACATTCAAAGTTTTCAGTTGAATATTTCAAACAGCCATAACGAACAACTTTTGTTAAGCAAAATAATAATCTAGGGATGGTTAATGCTGTTTAAAAATATTATGTATTGCAGGCTTGAATAGTTACATTTTGAACAAAAAAATCATTAAACTATTATGTGTACAATTGTTTCATTTGTATTTTGCACAAGAAATAGAGGCAGTAACTGAACAATGTTGGTAGCTGTTTTAAAGAAAACTTATAAATTGTTTTACTTATGTGCCTTTGGGTGTGAAACAAATCACTGTTGAAATCCTTTAATATACAGTGGTATTATTAGCTGCTCTCAAATTGCTGTATCAAGTAACAGTTCTGCACAAAATGGGGAGAAAGGATAGTCACTCTGTTATTGCTACCCCACTGTAATTATGGTTTTAATGACCATGGTGAAAATGGATTTTAAAAAAAAAGGGATTATAGCCATGCTGTAAGTCTGGGCAATAGTCCCTGACTATACTACAAACCTTACCGTGGTTAAGGGTAATGTCTATACACACAAGTGCTATGACTGAATTATAACATGGCTTGGTCTTGCCTGTGTAGATGGAATAAAATTGTGTTACAACCATGCTAAGGATGATTATAACCCAAGTTATTAGAAAAAAATCCCTGTCCATAATTATCAGGGAAATTATGCAGAACAAGAAGTCTCTTTCTAAATTTGGTCTAGTAATAATGAAGGACTAGAGCTCTCAGGTGGTCTCTCTAAGGCCTCACCTATGTGTTTGGGGACCATTTACAACATAGTAGGCCTTAAAGATGGTGAAAGCACAATTAGGTCTTGCAGTGTGGATAGGATTATGTTATAAATAACATTTCCAAACTATATTAGAGTCTTGCAAAGTCAAAATCCCACAAGTTGAATTACAGCTAAAAGAAGACAAAGCTGTAACAATCTCTGGGGAAAACTGTATTGTAACCAATCCCCTCACCACAGCCAGCTTTATAATGCAGATAAAGGTTGTAAAAGCTGTGCTGGTATTCCCTGGAGTGTTCCATGTCCCTTTGTACTATGTTGAATGAACATTTAGGAAGTTACAGAAAAGGCTTCCTCACTTACTGAGCTATGCCACAAGAACCTTGTTCAGCCATATAACAGTATTCAACAGTGCTTCATGCAGAGGATGTCAAGAGCTAAGAGGTGATAGAATTTGTGTTGTGTGCCCATGCTATTATCACTTTAGCCATAATTCAAGAGGACTTCTCAGTTCAAGAGCCAAATGTGCTGTAGATTGTACGAACAGCATTTACAGACACCCTATAGTTTGCTGAAAAGACCTCTTAGGTGAAGTCACATACATAGCTAGGACCACTGGGGGATTCTTGTTCTTGACCTCTTTTCCTCCTCATAATAATGAATTTAAAAATGGATCTGAACCCACATCAATGTTTGTAGACATAAAAACTTTTTTTTAATCTATGAGGAAGCTTAGTATAATTGCTAAAAATGGAAGTAAAATCAGATTTCTTTTTAATCACTATGAAGCTGTTTCCCTCTAACATATTTTGAGACAAAAAATGTGCACGTTAAATTTTCTAGCAAAGTGATAAAGCAAGAAATGAGGGTTTGCTAGGATCCTTCTGTCTGGCCTGGTGCAGCAACTGCTACATTGCTGCATCATCTCTTTTTAAAGATGCATCAAAGTGCAAGTCTCTGAAAAGTGGCCATGTAAAAATGGTACCTTTTTACTCAACCAATTAACTCTTTGTGTGTATTCAGCCAGATATTCCCATTTCATTCACAAACAAGTTGTTACTGCTGTTTACTCCTGCACTAGAGAGCCATCTCAGAGAAAGAGAATCCTTCTTACACATCAGTTAAATTGTATATCAAATTCCAGTCAGTGACCCCTGTGCAGTGTTCGTGAAGGTATCTTATGATAGCTGGTGATAAAGGCTTCAGCTCATTTGGTCTTAAACACAGAGGTCCTCTTGAGTGATACCTTAAGGTGAGAAGATTCACATCACAAATTCATGAATGCAATGGAATTGCACAAGATGTCATTGAGGCAAAACTGAAAGGTTAAACAGGTGTAACTAAGTGCATAATTTGGTCTGCAGAACCTTTATTACTGTTGATGATGAATGATCCCAGCTTGACTCCTAGATGCTGGTCTGAATTTGCAGGACTGGCAGTAGAAATGTCAGTTAAGCTGTCTATACCAGGGATGAAGTTGTTCCATCATCTAGAAATAAACTTAAGTATATTTCCCTCCTGGTTCACACCTATCTGGACAAGACTTTTTGTAAGCACCCATTTTCTACAGGATCTTTTCTATTGATTTACCCCCACAAACATGTGGCTGTTTTACCCCTCCAGGACAGCATATCTATTAATCAAGCTGGTCTTCAGTTGTTTTAAGGATTCCTACATATCATATCTGAGGCATGTTTCAACATGTTACCTGGGCAAGCCTTGCCCATTTCAAGGAGCAATACTCCCTAGATCAACAGTTACATGAAATCAGATAAAAGAGAGTTGAAATGATGTAGAGAAAAGTTATTAGGTAGAAAGAAACACTTGGGCAAACTGGAGGGCCCCCCACCCCTTTCCACAGTGTTTGTTAATTAAAAAGTCCAATGGAAAACAAAAATCCAGCCTGTACTCCATAAATAATGCCACCTGGAGAAATTTTTAAAAGAATGTTATGAGTATAGGGTGTATTAACAAACACAGTTATGGGGCACTCCAGTTTGCACAAATGTTTTTTTCAGTATATATAGTATTTAAACTCTGTTTTTTTAGCCCTAAATTGAGTTTTCTTTCACATGGACTATTTGTATTTTATAGCAAAATTTGGAGAAACCAAAATTCCCTTTAAAAAAAACCCTGATTATTCCATCAATTGAAATCTTTTATTTTTTTCCCTTTTATTTTGTGCTAGGTACAAAGCTGTAATTTTAAAACATTCCCCTCCAGGGACTTGTTTTATCAGAACAATCTAGGTCTGCTCTGGCAATTTTATAATAGGATGTATTTATATTCTTTAGAAAGAGGAAGCTGATTGCATGGTTTTTGCTTTGCCCTCCCCTTCAAATTAAAAAGAGAAGTCTTGTTTACCTGCCTACTTCATCAAGAAGACAAACTACTCAGAGCAGGAAATGCAGCAAGCATTGTGTTCAGATGTGGCAACAAAAATATCATTCTTGCTTTTGTTGTGTAGAGAAATGTGGTCTAGTCTGTACGGCCAGTCAAGAGAAAGAGTCAAGCAAGATTCACCAGTTTCTCACCAGCAGCTTTAAAGAGGAGAAGATGCTAAGCAAGACTGTATGCTGTAGTGTACATGTCTGCAAACAATACTGCTTCTTTTCAAAATTTGAATGAACAACTTCATTCATTCGCTAGCACAACCAGTTGTGATAAAAGTCCTATTGTGAAATTTAAAGCAACTTTTGAGCGGCTGTTGAATCGTAATCAATTATAAAGGGTCCAATCCTGATACTCTTACTCATGCTCTGTAATATCGTATTCTGTGAGGAGTCACATTACTATTTGTGGATTAAGATGCTACTCGCTGAGAGTCAGGATGTCAGAATCTGGCCCAAAGAAAGGGACTAAAAGCACTCATTTGAGTCCCAAAAAATGAAGGCATGTTCTGTGATAGCTCCCATGCTTAGTGCCACCAGTGCATTTCAACTCTGATCTGTATCTCCTCCTCCCACTGGGTGGAGCTATGCTACACTATGCAGTGACTGTATGATGTTGACCAGTGAGGTCATCACAGTCATCATCTATCACTTGAGACCTCAATCATGCTTTAAATCCTGGCAGCAGTTAAAACATAATTTCTAAATGCAGCAGTTAAAACACAGGAGGTAACAACAATATGCTGGAAGCAGCATTGTATAACTGGCTACTGAACTGCTGAAGGATGTATTTAATTCTCCCAAATTAAATAACTTAGGAAAAAGAAAGTGGGGATAGATGCTGTTTTGTCTTTGGAATTATGGGAAGTGAACAAATATACATGTTAACAAGGTCACCCTCTGTTATCTGAAATTATCTTTGGCTAGAGACTGGAAAGGGGAATTTTATTTAATAGAGAGACAAGTGATCTGAAATCTGCTTTATAGCTTGAACATGGCAAATAAAGAACAGAAGAGACATTGGAACAGTCTCTCTGGAACATCAAATGAAAAATATATTCCAGCTGAAAGTTTAGGATTGTGGTTAATGAGATGTTACTATTTGTTCTTGCTTTCAAGTGTACATCATGCTTCAGACGTTTGAAAAGCTTTTATAAATTATTTGCTCTGGAAATAACAGAAACCTAAACTATTCCCCCCCCCTTTCCCATTTGTACTATTTTTAGCAGTGGGCTTGTTGCTATCAGTATGTTAAGCAGAGGAAGCTGACAGATTTCAAGAGAAGAATGATCAGAGGAGGGATAATTAAGCAAATGTGGATAAATGGTTCTGTGACACTGAGTTGGTTTATCTGTTATGTCAGTATTATGGTTAGCCATGCAGGCGTCTGCAACACACATGTCTATACTGGTGCGTTGGCCCATCATGACTAGATGATGATGTTAACTGTCAGATGGAATTGCTGCAAACCCTGGTGGTGACTAGAAACAATTTCTGGGAAGAAGAATCTGGAAGAACCAGGTTGCAAGGAATAGAAGTGCAGTACAGTAACTCCTGTGCCAGTGGATCCTCTTGATAGGGTTTAAGCAGAACCAAGAATATAATGGGTTATCAATGCATGCAAAAATAAGAGGATACATGTAAGAGGTCACATGAAGGGTATTACCTACCAAAGAGGCAGAGATTCTGTTTTGTTGTTGAATGAAGATTGGAAGTAGTAAATAAAGAAGTTAAGTTTTACTAATTAATGTTTTGTAAAGTGCTTTGAAGGAGATCAGTTAAAAGTTGTTGCTATGTTTTGAATGAAGTACTCTGATGACTTATTTTTAATATTAAACATTTTGTGATGATAATTTTTAGTAAAGGATAAAATGACCAGGCACTCAGATGATGAGTATGGCATAAATACCTAGATAGATAAATCATAAGTACAATAACTTAATGCAATAAACTCAGATTATTTTAATAATTTAAAATCTTGTTCCCTAGGATACAGCCTCATGAGACACTTATCTCCTTCCAAAGATCTAGCAGTAAGGAAAAGCAATGTGGTCCAGTGGATTAAGCATGAGACAGGGATCTCGAGTTCTAATTCTGGTTTTCTCACTGACTCACTATGTGTCCCCTGGGCAACCCACTTCACTTGTCTCCCTTTATTTCCTCATTTGTAGAATTGATATAATTGCTCCTCTCACAGGGTTGTGATGAGGATTTATGTGATTACAAAGCAATTAACGTGTAAAATACTATTGGTCCCAGCCCAGTGAAGGTCCTGAGTGCCTCCAGCATGGGGCTGAGAATCTTTAGCTCTCATTTACTTAAATGGAAGCTGAGGAGGATCAGCACCTTGTAGGAAGATGTTTAGCACATCACAGAATCAGATCCAATACGTTATTAAAACAGCCAGACAGTCTTACCCTCATATATTCAGTACAATGAAAGCCACAGAACACAGGGCACTGTTTAAAATAGCAGACAACACTGAGCAGTCACAACTTCAGCTCATTTTAGGCTGAGAGTTATTTAAGACTTGATACATGGAAATGTACAAAAGACTCATTCCTGCACCCTTCACTCAGGCAAAAACTTCCATTGACATCAACAGGAGGTTTTGCCTCACAATAGGGCCCACAACTTGTTGTAGTTGTTCGAGTGATAAACACCACAACGGTTAATAAAATCTATCTGAGGCAGCCTTGAATAATCCTGCTCACCCAACGCAGGCAGAAAGTTTTCCCACATCACAGTGATCGATGTTATCAACTGTAGCCCCATTTACTTGAACAAACAAACAAAAAACTCCACCCCAATTACATTTGAAATGAGGGTAGACAACTCTTTAGCTGCTACTTGTGCTATACTGCCTGGCTGTAGGAGGAGCTCTACTCACTGCCTCATTGTAGGTGGAGATGGAGGAACTGCAATTGTGTCTACTAAATTCTCCATGTTCTTGGCTCTTCCAGTGCAGAGTCCACGGGGAGGATGAGTGAAAGTCAGCAGTTTCTATGGGCTTTGCCTTCTCCTGGGCCAGACCTATTCCCGCCCCCTTCTCCTCCCTCTCCCTGCCCCAAGCCAGTTGAGAGACTCTGTGGAGAAAACAATGGAGAAACAGAGAAAATGGTGAATTTTATGGAGGACAGAGGAGAGATTTGATGAGTCAGAGATAACGGGGTGAGCCAAGCTGATTGAGTGGGTGGAGGATGAGTCTAGGACTCAATCAGGAGAAAAGAGGAATGGCTGCCAGTGTGGTGTGGTTGTGTGGTGTGTGAGAGAATTTATATTGTGCAAGAGCAAGCGGGTGGGTGTGGTTGTCTGGGAATGGGGTTACACATGTTGCTGTTTATAAGAAGAGCAAGCTAGCAGAATTTTGTCCGTATTATACGTTTTCTTGACAAATTGGCAAGGGTGATGTGGTTATGTATGAAGCGCCCATCACTGTGGTCAGTCAGTCTGCAGACATTCAAGTGTGGTTTAAAAAAAACAAACAAACCAGGATGGGTACAGGAGAAATGAAGAGGAAATTTTAAAACCATATGCTTTGACTCTATCTATTTTGATTATCCAATTAAAAAGTGAAAACCTTAAGATGTTTACATATATTTGGCAGGCACTGCAAATGAAGAAGCTTCAGGAGATGGTTCACCAGCATTGAATATCAAAGTAACACCTAGACCAGAGACATCTGCAGAATATTTTACAACTGCAGGTGACCATGATCTGAAACCTGCCATCAAACCAACAGAGATTGAGATAAATGTTGAAACAGGAAATAATGCAAGTACTGGGTTAAATGATATGAATAATGACAACACCCCAGAAATGGCAGGTGTACAGCCTGCCTTAATGTTTGGCATTCCTGTGGTGATACTAGTCCTACTAATTCTGCTGATCATTTTCTTTGTGATACGTCATAAAAGGAAAAAGTCTAAGCAAGGTAAATTTTAGGACTTCTCAAGTTTTAGAAGGATCTTTGTAGAAAATATTGAACATGAACAGGAAAGGATTTCAGGAAATGGAATGCAATGTTTATGATGTATTTCTTTATTTTGTGATACTTGAATTTTCATATGCAGAAATGGAATGTATTATGAAACTCTAGAGTTTTGTTTTCCTCACTAACTCTTAGCACAGTATGTACAGTGTATCTCATGTAAATAGGTCTAGTTCTGCTTCTTAGCACCCTCTGCTTATCTCTCACATCTATGACAGCTATGGGCTATAATAAGATCCTCTGCCATCTCAGCCCTCTGGTAACATTTAAGGGCAAAGAGAGAACTATTTGACCATGCATGTTTTTTTCTTGTTCTGTTCTTATGCTTACTAATTCACTGTTGAGGGTACTTCTCTAATGAACAATTTACTTCTTTCATTACTGACAGGGAGAAACTACCTGAAAATAAAAGCAAAATCTTCATAAGAGGGAATTTATCTTAGCACTTCAAGGGAAGCTTTCATAGAGACCCTGTAGTGTGATTGCTGTTATGAAACCACTTGTTCAATCAAAGTAAACTGCTTAAGAATAATGTGATCAGGGTAACTGTATTCTGCAATAAGATGATGCAATTTCAGGAAGGTACATACAACCTACCTCAATAACTCCACTGTGTGAAACAATAGGAACTGAACAGAGGAAGGGCCTTAAAGATATAGAGTGATGTAGGAACTTTTGAAGGAGGTGTACTGATATATTTTGGAATATTTTGTGCTGTTAAAAGTATGTCAGCCTACAAATATTAAACCATAAATAGAGACTTAGGGCCAAACTTTCAGTGTGCCTCTGAAAATGCCCCTACATTAGCATTGGGTACATCACTGATACACACCAAATGGGTAATGAAGCTTCTGCCTGGTTGTTCATATGTGTTGGGGATGTTCATGTAAATATATGGGTACATTTTCAGAGCCCACTGGAAATTTGATCTTAAAGATTGCTAACGCACAATTCTGGGTTCCTGCTCACTTTTTCCTTTTGCTTGGAAGCAATACATTGGGTGTCTTAGCCTTGTAGACATTCTACTCAGCCTATCCACTGCTCCTGACATGACTCATTGGCAAACAGAGAGAGAAGGTGGATGCGCTGGAGCGGGTTGGAGGCTTTGGTGTCTTCTGGCTGGGCTGAATTTAAAATGAGCTGATTTGAACCATAAAATAATTGTACAATGTGGATATTACATCCAGCCCTTCATTCTTTTTATTACATGCTGGGACTCCTAAAGCATTTTTAGGCCCGTACAGAAGAGATGAGTTCTCTGTATAATGGCCTGCTATGCCACACCACCTGACTGCTTGCTTGCTTGCTTGCTCGCTCGCTCTCTCTGGTATTTACATCTATCTATATATGCACATTTCCCTTCTGTTCTTCCTACAGTTTCTAGTATTCCTTAATATCTCATCCTACCCTCAGTCCTTTTTCATTTTCCATCTCTCGTGTGGCGTCTCATCCAGCTTCCCTGACAATTGTTCCCTTTGGTCTCTGTAATTTAGCACTCTGAGATTTCAGCTACCATTCAAGCTTCTTTACCTTTTCCTCCAATGTGGAAACCAGCTCCTATGATCTTCATTCATAAATAGGTACACTACACATGATCTGTCTCAAAGCTTGCAATAAACCAATTTTTATACCAGTTGTTACTTTTTCAGGATGTCATTTTCCTTCCTGGAATCTGTTAGGTTCAAGGAACTCTGTGTTTGCAGTCTCCTGTTCACATTCTGAATGTTAACTCCCACTGCACTGATCTGTATCTTAGGTTTACCTCAGCTACTGATTTCTGCTCAAGCCAAACAGGGTGAGGTGACTCGTGGGAGGGGCATGGGTCAAGTGTCCCTCCAGCAGCTGGCTTGGGTGGGGAGAGGTGGGGCCAGAGACTCGTTCGGCCACGCTGCCTGGGATGCTGCCCAGTGCAGCGCAGTGGCTGACTGGGAGAGTGCCTGACTGCGGCAGCAACTGGCTGCCCCCACCCAGGCGCAGCTTCTGGGGACAGTGGCCCAGCAAGCCGGAACCCTCCCGCCCCTCTGGCATGCTCACAGTCGGCTCCTGTCCCCAGAAGTCAAGCTTGGGCAGACAGCGGACTGCCGTTGCCCCCTCCCCAGCCGGGCTCTCTCATAGCCAGCTACTGCTGTGCACAGAGCATGCAGGGGAGGTGGGTGGGGGCTCCAACTCAGTCAGCTGCTGTCCTGGAAGCCAAGCCCAGGCGGGAAGCAGCCCGCTGCCGCCACAGCCAAGCTCTCTCCCAGACAGCTGCTGGGCAGCATCTGGGAGTGGCTCCAGGGCCTGGTTGCTAGGGAGAGCAGCCGAACATGCCAGGGGGGAGCTGGCGCAGCAGGAGGATAGAATCCGCCCCCGCCCCCCCAGTAACGTGCAATGGGGAGGGGACGGGGAGAGCATGGGGGCCCTGGGCTGGTGGGAGTCATGTGTGGAGATCACGTGTCCTCCCCTGTAGCTGGTGCTCCTCCCCCCCCAGTCATCTCATGTATATTAATAACCAGCAAGAGTTGCTGGTGGTCAGCTTCTTTTAGTACATTAGAGAAAATTACTGATTAAAAGCAATCAGCACCTACGTAAACTACAGACTACGTGGTTAATGGAAGAAAACGTATAAAGCATTTTAGTTTTAATCTAAAGGATAACCAGTTATATATGAAAACTGTTCCGTGTTTAAAATAAACCTACTGCAGAATTTTCCCAGCTATTTGGGATATCACATTAAGAGAAAATGGATAGTTAGTTAAAGACAAGTTAACTATACATTCAACTTTTTAACTTATTTTATTTCAGATGAACTGGGAAGTGAAAATGTCAAAAGGTAACATTTATAGATATTGCTCATTGTTCTAGCTTGTTTCCTAAAGTAGACCATGTTAATTTTTAGGGCCTTATTGTTGTGGTTTTAAACTTATTGTATGTCCTGCACGTCTTGAGGAGTCTATATTTTGTAGTTTCAACACTCTTACCCTTTCTCATTCATTAACCCTAGAGGAGGCTAAAGGACCCCAAGTCCCACCAAATAATTACCACTGTTGTATTTTGTGGTTGATGTATTGTAGGGTGCATTACCTCCTGCTAACATTTGCAGGCTCCTCTGGTGATTATAGTACATCTGGCTGCCACTGTGGGACTTCTGATCCTTCAGCACATAGACTGCAGGTAGCAGAGGGAGATGGCACCGAGCAGGGAATACAGGCTTCTGTTGGGATTATTTCAGCCACACAGGTGGAGTATGACATAGGTGCCATAAGGCCTTTGATCCAGCCTGCTGTCTACAGCCCCACCACTTGTTTTGGGCACGAGCCACCATCGGTTCTCTTACTCTAAATGTGGATGCCGCAGGATACAGCTATACTTTGGGTAACAGGGACAGGCTTCCTGGCTCTGTCCATAAATTCTATCTGCCCAGAATAAGCTTTATGTCATGTTCAATTATTTTCAAATTTGCTTGCTCATTATTACATGGCATGTAAAGATTCTCTGGAGCTTGTGTGAACTGAATAACCCATGTCCAATAAAAACAAGCAGGCTGCAGAATAGTTCTCAACCATTTGATAGTTGTTACCTTATTATTTATTTTACTGAGATCCTTCCTCATGGTAAGTGCTGAAAATTATTAAAATGGATTTGGGGGGGGAGAGATTCCCTTTAATTCAGAGGTTCTCAAACTTCATTGCCCCGCGACCCCCTCCTGACAACAAAAATTACTACACAACCCCAGGAGTGGGGACCGAAGCCTATATCCGCCTGAGCTCCGCCGCCCTGGGTGGGGGGCAAAGCAGAAGGCCAAGGGCTTCAGTCTCAGGTTGGCAGGGTGTACGAGAGCTTCAGCCCCAGGCCCCAGCAAGTCTGAGCCAGCCCTGATGACCCCATTAAAGCAGGGTCACGACCCTGAACCACTGCTTTAATTCATGCTAAAAATACAAAATAAAGTTAGCAATAGTCTTTCAACCATGAGGCTGTTTCTAAAAATGATCAGTAAAGGAAAGAGTAAAATTAGTAACATGTAGTTAGTATAGTTATGACCTTTTCTTTTTAGGTCATTGCTGAAACCAACCTCCTGGTTGAAATAGCATTTCTAACTTGGGGCTCTATCTTGCTTCCATTGAAGCAATGGGAGTTTCACCATGGATTTCAATGGGGTGGGATCAGACCCTTTATTTTCTAATTTCCTATCTACAGTGTGTAGTTAAGATTCCCATTTATTCCATTTGTGGGCCATGATTATTTGTTTCTTACCTGTTGGACTGACACATCTTCAAAAAGTAAACTCACTAGAGCAGCATTGGTGTCCCACAATTAAGGCCCAGAATTATACAAGATTGATATGATGCTGCTATGTTACGTGTCTATTTGAGTGAAACACGTTGTCTAACCCATCTTTTGTTTCCTGGATCAAGTCCTATTTTTGAAGAAGACACACCCTCTGTTATGGAAATAGAAATGGAAGAGCTCGATAAATGGATGAATAGCATGAACAAAAATGGTACTGGTAACCCTCCAATCATTTCTCTCTCTGTGTCTGAGGTAGCCTCCATGAATAGAAAAAATACCACAGAGCTATTTTATATTTGTGTTGCTACTTTTCCTAAAACATTTTTAGTCCTGATCTTAAGCCTACAATACTAGAATAGTTGCACAAGCAAATATCAGGGGTATTTTAGGCTGGCTGGGTGCTTATTTTTATCAAATGATGGGATACTATAGATATAATACCATAAAGGTTTCAGTTTTCAGTAGAAGCTTTTATTAAACACGTATACTGTATTTATATTTTTAAATAAAAATGGCTTTTTAGGGGTACATAATTGTCTCTTTAAAAGATCTGACTCTCTCAGTATTCAGTGTGTCTGCACTAGTGTGCTGCATATTGTGCCATTCTAAGAGAAATCACTGTTTACTCATAGCCCATAGCACTATTTACTTATTACACTGCTGCCAGGATCATCTTCCTGGCTCATCACTATGACTACATCACTTCCCTTTGCATCCTTCCACTGGCTCCTTATCCTCTACTGCATCAAACACAAGCTCCTTCTTTTTGCCTTTTAGGCCCTTCACCATTTAGATTCACCTTATCTGTCAGAAATACTGCTTATCAAGCTGTGAGCCTCCACCATTAATTTCTCAGTGATCCACTTCTCCCTGAAGCACCTCTGTTAGGGTGACCAGACAGCAAATGTGAAAAATCGGGACAGGGGGTGGGGGGTAATAGGAGCCTATATAAGAAAAAGACCCAACAATCGGGACTGTCCCTATAAAATCGGGACATCTGGTCACCCTAACCTCTGTGCTTTCTCCCAGGCTGCCCCTGGTGCATGAGAAGAGCTCCCAGTCAAAATTCTCAAACACGTCACCTAAGCCGCCTTCAAGTCAGTTCTCAAAACTCACCTCTTCCTTAATGCATAGAGTTAACTGCAACCTGATTTCAGCTACACAGGTGGCATATTGTGATTACTGCTCCAGACTGGCTAAGAATTGCACATATTCTAATATTTTTGTTGCCCATCCCTTGCCCCATGCCCCAAAATGCTTGTTTGCTTCATCCACTTATTATATCTTGTCTTTCAGATGATAAGCTCTTTTGGTAGACACCTATCATTTCCTGTAGGTTTGTACAGTGTTTAGCAGGATGGTCCTTTCACCTTGTCAGTCTGTAGACACTACCACAATATAAACATTAAATAATAACAATACTATGTCAATGGCTTTAAATACAGTAGATGGGGAAATATTTATTGTAAAAAGATGTTAACACATTTTTTAAAAGTCAGCAAACATTTCATGTATTTCTTCAGCAGCAGCACCACATACAAAAATACCCCAAACTGCTGGCTGTACTAATCTTGTGAAATAACAGATGTGATTGTAAACAGTTGTACTGTGAATAGCTAATAAATAGCCCTTGTAGTCTGAGTTTATTGCAAAGATGCATGTGAACGAGGAAAGGCACTTCCTATGTGTATACATGCATATACACACAAACAACTGAAATAAATATCATAAAGGTTACCAGGTCTTCCACTGCAGCCACAAGGGTAGGACACTTTCAAATAGCTGATAATTATATTAAACAAAACATATAAATGTGCAAATATTACAGATAAAAAGAACTATACTTGTACCCTGGAGTTTTCTGGTTCGCAGTCACTACTCTGAAAGTGAACACAATTTTGAAATGTCTGAAAGAATTACCAAAGGTAACAGTGTGATTATCTTTTCTCTTCTTAGCTGATGGTGACTGTTTACCTACTGTAAAAGAAGAAGAAAAGGAATCAAATGTCTTCACAAGGTACTTTTAATTCTACCATTGTATTACTCAAAGAAACACTATAAACATTAGTAATTTGAAAATGTGACCTACTTTTTTTCTTCTTTGTCTACTTCTAACGTTGATTTATTTAATTATTTATTATGGACTTTGATTTCTCTTCAGACAAATGCCTCAATATTCTTTTATCTTAAAAAAAAAAGTGTCTACTTGTAGCTTTGCACCCACAGAAAACCCTACAGTAAAAAGCCTATGTGTGAGAGAGACAGACAGACAGACAGAGATGGAGCAAACAGAATTTCGTTAGTTGATCAGATTTTAATTGCCATTTCCCAAGGTGTTAATATGAGCATGTTGAAAAATCCGTTATTTGTGAGCTGTCAAAAAGAAAGGTCAGTCAGCGTAAGAAAAAAAAATTTAGTCTCATCTTTTACCACTAGGTGGCTCTACTTGACTGAGAAAGACTATCACACTTTTTGGCTTGTGTAAACAATTATACTATTTTGCATTTAGTTACTAAGATCAGTTATTATGAGATGATAATACATAACTCATTTGTCTGCAGCAAGTATACTATACTGGTCTCTGAGTTTTTCCAATCTCACAAGCCAAGTAGGGTCAAACCTGCCAGATCAATAGCTTGACAGACCTTAAAAGAAAGCCAGCAGTGCAGTAAAAATGGTTTTGTTGCTTCAGGAAGTGAGACTCTCCCCTCAAAGTCAATATTGAGTTAATCTCCTACATGGAATTAAGGGGAGGAGGGAAACACTGTGCTGCTTTCATTCAGATTAGATTTAAAAATCAAAATCCTGATGACTTGGTAGACAGTAAAATTCTCTTGGCATTTTTCACAAGGGTAAGGGCATGAACTCTGGTATCCTGAATAAACTGACCATTCAGTTCTGCCTACCTAAAATTGCTCCTATTCTTCAGTTTGCTCCTATTGGCTTCAATTGCTCCTATTCTTCACTTCTTGTCATGCTCCTGCATTCCCACCATAGAGGTGGCTGCATTTTAGTGGTAAGTGAAGTAATTAATCTCTCTAAGATATATAATGATGAACAATGACACAGGCACAAACAGTTCCGCATAGATGCCATGTCAGTAGTTCCAAATGCCATGGGGTGGTTCCAGTAGAAAAGAGTTGCCAAGAAACCAGCTGGGGAAAGGCTACTGGGGCCCATGAGGCCACACAAGGCCTCCTCATGGGTGTTCTCAGCCGCCACAGATTCCTGGGGATCCAGCAGCTTTGGGATGGAGCCCATGAACTCTTTGGTGGGGAAGCAAATTCCAAGCTTGCAAACAAGATGCTGGGGGGGGGGGGGGGAGGGGGAGGGCATGGAGGAAGGGAGAGATTCTCCTGGAGATTTCTTCTCCCAGAGCCCTATTCCAGGGAGATTATCATGGCAGATGATGAGCTAAGATAAGGTTACTTCATCATAATGTGGGTGCAAGCAACTAGTCTCAAAGGGCATTTTTAAAAGCTTGTGGGTATAAGTTGTATTGGTCACATGCCTGGTGAGCAAATGGTGTGTTATATGGAGAGAGGAAGAAGTGGTTTGGTTAATGTTTACATGGTGACTTGAAATGCACACCAATGCAGTGTTTCTGTGTGATCCTGCCTCCCCAACTGAGGAAGTTACAATCAAACCTCCCACCAAGATTGTGTTCCAAACCCATTCTTGTTTAGGATCATGTAAGACCCCATCCCTAATGGGCTTCCATAAACTTTAGTTAAAATAATATATAGAACCTTGTAGGGTTAAGCTTTGTTTCTGCTGCACTCTACTTCCACATTCAATACATATATCCGATCCTGCATGAAAAGATGAAAATTGACAGTGGAGACAGGAAGTGATCTGGTCTCTGAAAAATATTTTCAAGAGAAGAAAATAGAAAAGCTTAGATGGCGGGAGATGGGTCATAAGAAGGAAAGGATCAGATCTATGAGCAGGTCACACTCAGGGATCAGACGGGGGTGGGGAAAAGAGTTGCAGCCTACCCTCCGTCCACCAAATGAGAAGCCATTTATAGTAGAGAACGTAGATCTTCCTAATATGATGATCTCTTTCTTTCATGCCTTGATGAGTGAAATAGTTGTATTGACAATACATCATCATTTGCTTCAGAGCTGACTCAGGCAGTTCACATTTCTCTCAAAGCTGTTGTTCCAGGATGTCTACAGACTCATGCAGATACCACTGCATCTGTTTGCATTTGAAGAAGTTTCCTTTACAACTATAAAGACAAGAGAAATTACTCTTTTAAAAAGTGAAAGCTTAGATTCTGGGTTCAAGATGCAACCACCAGCAATCAGACTGTGAAAAAGCATGTAATAGCCCTCCTGTTTCTCTGTTCCTTCCTGTGTATGAGCCCATCATGATGACAGATAAAGAAGGAGGGAGCAGAACTGAGAAGCCATGGATTGTAAAGATAACTACATATCCTTTCTCTAAAAGTTAGATTTATCAAGGTCTTTGCTTGCCCGGACTTGAATTAACAAGTAGAATAAGACCAAGAATTTCTTAAACACCTGCTAATACCAATACTGGAAGTGTTGCTGCAAAAGCCATTTTTAAGGCATAACATTCCCTAGTATTAATTTTGTTCTCCGAAATTACATAGCTATTGAATTACAACTCTTGGCATTTTCTTAAGTGTTCATTTTCAAAAGTATCAGCTTGACCTACCAATTTGATTAGACCTATGGTAATAAAATATCAAGTTAGGATGGTCTTGTAGCTAAAAAAACAAGAATCTGAAGCTATGTCTACCCTGCCCCACAGTTCAGCCTGGGGAGTGTGTGAATACAGTGCTCACCATAGTGCTGCACTGTAACTCCCTCATGTGATGCTGCAAGCACAAACTAAAACGTTCCTAATTCACATTAATGTAGTCCTGTCTGACAAGGACTATACGAGGAATGTTTTAGTTCATTGCCACAAATCTACACGGGGAAGTTACAGCACAGCACTTTGATGCGGACTCTTATGCACACCTCTGTAGTCCAAACTGTGGGGCAGTGTAGACAAACCCCATTTCATGTCAGGAGAGTTGGGTTCTTTCCTGGCTAGGCCCCAGATTTCCTCTGTGATTTTGGGTAAGATGTCTTTGAGCCACTCATTGCCTCGGTTTCCCCATCTATAAAATGGGGATATTGCTACTTCACAGTGTTATGACTTAGGCCCTAAGTCAGGAAAACATCCCTATTCAGGAAAGCACTTAAGCACACATAAGCATGTACTTACATCCCATTGAAGTCAACAGGAAATTAGGCACTTTCATTAAAGTATTCCTTAATAATGGTCTGAGGTTTTTTTAATATTTGTAAAACACCCTGATGCCCAGTTGAGGGGTATTGTTGAAATGCAAAGTGTTATTTAAATTTCTTCTTTTAAATTTAGTTCCAAATTCAGGAAGACAGGCTCATTTAGTCAGATTTTTTTTTTAAATTACGTAACTTTTTTTTTTTTATTTTATTTAAAGCTAAATAATTCTACAATGCAAGGAATCTTAGCCAACTTTTCAATGCCTTCTTGAACAGAAATTGTGATCTTTTTTGTCAGGGTTTTGTTGTTGTTGTTGTTGTTTGTTGTTTTAGGAAAATTCCACTTTCATCAAAGTCCAAATGTTTTGAAAAATGTGGTGATTTCAACTATATTTTGTTTTGAAAAAAATTAAATGAAGCATTTTTGATCATGCTGAAAAAGCCATTTCAACATTTTTGGAACAGACCATTTCAATTTTTCATTTTGAAAGAATTTTTTCAAACAAAATTCATTGTTTTTATATTAAAAACACTTTAAAATATAAAATATCAAAATCACAACTAAATTCTTAGATTCTCCCAAAACTACATTTTTTCAGAGTTTTCATTTGTGGGAAATTTCTAAATGTTTTGGCTGTGTTCAGGGCCGGCTCCAGGCACCAGTGAATGAAGCAAGTGCTTGGGGCGGCCAATGGGAAGGGGCGGCACGTCCGGGTCTTCGGCGGCAAGTCCCTCAGTCCCTCTTGGAGCGAAGGACCCACCGCCAAATTACCGCCGAGGAATGAAGTGGCGCGGTTGAGCTGCCGCCGAAGTGCCGCCGATCGCGTCCCCCCCCCCCCCTTCATCACTTGGGGCGGCAAAAAAGCCTGAGCCGGCCCTGGTTGTGTTCCATTTTGGAGTAGAAATCAAAATCGTGGAATTCTCACCAAAAAAAAAGAAAGAAAGAAAGAAAAGGAAAAAATCTGGTTCCCCACCCAGCTCTATTATTGAATCTTACCAAACAGACATGTTTTGCTGACAATGCCTCCTGGGTCACATAAACAGAGAAAAGAAAAATACATAGAACTATTTTAACAGCTCATTTGAGGAAGTGTGTTATTAAAGTCAAATAAATGAAGTAAAACAGCTATTATTAAATTTAAAAAATCGTGTTAATCCAGCATTAAGGTTATAGATTTCAGCACACAAGGCAGGAAATTACAGTACACTTGGGAGCTGCTAGCCTATGCTGAATTCTGCACCACTACGCCTTCAATACTGCTGTTACCCATGCCAGCTAGAATCCAAGTTAGCACAGGTATGCCTAGCCGTGCTGCAATCACAACTTCATTGCAGTGTAGACATATCCTAAGTAACAGAAAGATATTTTTGTGTTACCATAAACAAAACAGGTTATTGGAAAAATACCTGAGAGTAAATTGTTTAGGTGGAAACAACAGGAACAAAACGGGGGGTGTGGAAACAACAGGAACAAAAGGGGGGGGGAGGAAACGATTTGGCTTATATAAGAATGGATTTAAAAAATGAATTCCATATGGTTCCCATAGCGCAGAAGCTGGGGTGGGTGTGTCGGGGGAAATATGATTTGTCAGGGTTTGCCTGGAAACAGGAGAGAGAAATCAAATCAGCCCCGCTCACACTGCCTGGTATCACAAACACGTTCATTTTATGGAATCTATAACCTGTGTTTATTTTCAGTCCACAAGATCATCATTACAATACACTGTCCCACCACTACCACTGAGTAAACTTCATTGGAAAACTATAATGAGCTAAACTTCATTGGAAAATTATAGTGACACAAGTTGTTTCTCTCTTTAATACATATACAGTGACTGCGAAACATGAAGTCCAAACAGCACTGAACTGGTTAAAGGGAAGCTGTGCACAAGGCTCATAGTCCTATCCCACAGATACTAGATGAACTGGATGTAAACTTAATTCGTCTCAAACAGCGAGAGAAGCAAATGCTTTTGTTGTTTCCTGTTGCATGCATTCTTCGTAATGGAGGCATCACCAATAAAAACAAGGAAATGCATTACAGTAAGATTAAGGATCTGATTTAAACTTGCATTGCAATGAAATTTCAGCATTAATATAGCGAGAACAGTCCTATTTCTGAAGGTCCTCAGAACAGTCCATGTTCCACCTTATCCTCTATCTGTGTGTGGCTGTGATATGTATGACTGCTCATGTACCTGAGTTCTTCCATAAAGCATCACTGTAGCCTTAACTCCCAATTTCCTTGTGTTAGTGGGTTTAAATCAGACTGCTAAATTCATAATCTTGTATTGTTTTTGTATATAATTTACTTTTTTTGTAATGGTGGAATAATTTGTGTTGGATTTCCATTGATGAAGTAAAAGGCTCTGATTGCCAGAAGAGATTTGATGTCCACTAAAAAATTAAACGGCTGAAAGCTACAGCATGGAGGATGCTCCTTAAAGCCAACTGCAGCCCCAAAGGAGGACCTAAGGTTTGTCAAATGTTTTGAGATTCTCAGGAGAAAGGCGCTATAGAAGTGGAAAGTTTTATTTAAAGATTTCCTCTCAGCCATTGAACCTTAGTCCTCCAGATATTCTGAGCTGTTCTCTCAGCTCTTCTCTCAACTCAGGGCTATTTTCTAATAATAATTAACTCTAGGGATTTTCAGTTTAAGGTACTTTCTGTGAAAAGCAGGATGAATATCGAACAACTGGATACCAACCTATTCTGAACATATGCACCAGAAACTGCCTGACCAAGATTTTCAGAAATAACAAGTTGATTCAGATGCCTCAATTTTTGGGTACCCAACTTGAGACACCTTCAAGGGGGGATTGCTAAAAGGTGGATGCTCAATACTTTCTAAAATCAGGCCTCTTACAGATGCCAGAAGTTGGGCACCCAAATATTGTGGAACCCAAAAAATCACTAGCCTCTTTTTTGAAAATTATGACCATGGGTTTTTTTAATATGTAACAAACGTGTGGAACTGAATGTTAGTTAATGTAGATTTTTGTCCTATATTTAAAACATTAACCTCAAGTCCTAGCTAAATTTACTTTCTATAATATATTATTTTGTACCTGGGCAATATATTTTTGAGAAGTGTGCCCAATTTTGTTTTGGGCACAACTACTTTAAAAATATTTTTCCATGCACAGGTTTGGTTTTTTTTAAGTGAGGATATCATCTAACCCTCACCAACCAATCCAACATTTGAGGGTGTAAGCAACTTGAACAGTATGAGTAACTTGCACTGAAGAATTTTTGCTCTTTACATTCTCAGATTGCCTTCTTGAATTTATTCTTGGCTTAAATGAACAATTTCTACAAAAGAGTATTTGGTCTGTACATTGTTCCCAAATAGTTAATTGCAAGTATTCAGCCACTGAGCTGTGGTGACTTCATTTTTCCTGACTGGATGAGTTTAACTTTGAGAATCAGGTTCATGAGTTCAAAATTAGTTTTTCACAAAAATTCTCCAACATTTCCCAAATGCTCTTGACAGTAAATTTGTTCAGTAGAATATTTGTCAAAAACAACAAACACGACAAATTAAGCGGAAGCAATTTGATTCTCAGGAACATTTTTTGTAGTATTTGCTCAACTCTGTTAGCAACTTAGTAAACTAGAACCTGGATGTTACTCTGGCATTTTTCACTCCTTGCAAAGAGTAATTCTGAAGACAGCATAAAAGTAGGATGATTTCTAGAAGAGAATGTGGTATAAGATGTATTTTGACAGTTGTAAGAACTGTAGAGTTCTGTCAGTCAGTTCCAGTATAACATTTTTAGAGCAAGGGCAAGCATTGACTAGACTGTTCTACCTTCTTCATTTCCCATCAATCCCTTTCTTCTCCTCCCCACATTTCCTGTCTTACCCATTCCATGACACTCCTGTCACTCACCCCTTTCTCCTTCTTCCTGTTTGAGCTCATGCCATCCATTCTTTCCTTATGTGGCTGTCATCAATATCTGTCTCACTCTTTCCCTCTCATCTCAATTCCTCATCTCAAACCTAGGCGACTTCAACTTCCCTACTGATAACTTATCCAGCTTCCTTTCTTTACTCTTTGTTTGACCTCCTGTTTTGGACTGACTTCTCTACTCACCAAAAACCTGATCCATTGCTCATTGACCTCAGAAAGTTTGAATCAGGCCCCACTTTGATTGCTTTCTTGCTTTCTCTAAGCACCATTCTCACATGTCTTAGTCTCAGAGTTCCTTCTCTCAAACTCACCACTTACTTAATATTGCTCACTCCATCAACTTTTTGTATTACTCATCTGCTCTCAGTTCCTTCCTTTCTTAATTTCTCTCACCTTTTACAACTCTATGGCCATCACGTTCCTCTTCCTCAGATTAGTTTCCATTGCTCATTTCTCTCACAGCCAG